AAAAAAATCTTTAAATTATTGTGGAAGCTGTGTGACAGTCGTATTAGCATCCAACTAGAATAAATATGTTGTGAAAGTAAACATAAACACATTTCGCTATTTAAGAACAATATCAATGTAACACACTGGCAGGCGGGCGGCTCTTGGATGAAAATTGTAACAATATTGTAAGTTACTAGTCAGAGCTTATTGATGTATGAAGAGGCTGTATGGTGCAACCTTTGCCTACCCAAATAAATGGTAAAAATTTATTTTTAACAAATATGTCAATTATACAATATATTACGCTATATTATGCCTGGTTCACTAGTCTCCCACTTGCGGTTTCGCATGCTTGCGTTGTTGGCTGGGTATACTGAGTAGAAATTTGCCCTCCGCGCTAAGGCGAGACTTCGCGGCGCGTTGCCTTTGTTTTGGTTGTAGTGGACGCGTGGACGCTGCTGCTCTATGATTGATCAGTGGTCCTCCGCAAACGTTACCTGTTGCTTGCTTGGAAATATCAAGCTTGCTAGTTATCAAACTCACGCAACGTAAAGAAATCCAATGCAAAGCAAGCGGGCGGCACTAGCGAGCGACACGTGAACAGTATTGCTTGCGCGTGCGCAACAGATCTTTCCGTATATGCGAAACGTGTCACGCAATCAAGCGAAAAATGCAAGTGAAAGACTCGTGAACCCGCTATTAAGGCGGGTACTCATTAGCGAGCTGTGTAACTGTAACGTGACAGATACAGTAACGAGGTTCTAGTGTGTACGCGTGAAACGTCTTCACTCGCTAGAATGAGTACCTGGTTATCGTCAGCTCACTGCGAACCAGACGTGTTTCGCTCACGGTAAGCTCGAAAACACGTACACACTATGATTTTTGGTAACATAATATGCAACGGATACGGTTACAGCTGGCTTTACATTTCAAGGCAATGTTTATGTCATTCAAAATTAAGCACATTGCCATTATTCAGCTAAATCGTAGATTAAAACCCGCAAATTCACTTTCACTTTGCTTTTTAATTGTTAATTTTAATGACATTTTGCCATTTAAATGACAAAATTATTAAAATCAAAAATTTCATAGTCACATCCATGATTTTATTTGAGTAATTTTGTTTCAAGTGCAATTTTAATGGTAGCGGCTATTTCCAGTAGCCTACAAGAATATTTTTTTTGATGAATTCAATATGATTTTTAATAAATAGTATTAAGCAACTTTTAATTTTCTGTGTATAATAAAACTGAAAATTTGTTCTGTAAATGCTACAAAAGTGTGTCCACTGATATTTTTGGGTAACCCAGTTGCCTTTTTAAGCAGCTTTCATACAACCACTAATATGAAAAATAGTTTATTTGTACCATCACAAGCTACAAAATTCTTGTTACATGTATTAATAAGGACTAGTTGTATTAGCTAATTATAGTTTGTGAGGAAGCTGGAATGTAAACTAGGTCGAAACCTGTGCTATAGCTTCCAGGCCCCCCCACCACGGAAATAATTATTACTTAAAATATAAGCACTTAATAATTAACAAAATGTATTAATATAATGGTAAAAAGAACGCTAGATGACTCTACATAAGATCTTACTACATTTTATTGTGAAAGAATCGCGGGTCTTGACTTTATAATTGTACATTTAATATCTTTGATAGGGTTGACTTCAATTGTAATTGCAATTGTATTTATCGTAATATTTATTATTTAGATAGATAAGGTACTATGTAGGTAAGATACTTGTTAATTTTATAGTAATGCTGATTCGCATTTTTTTTTTCAGTTGGTAATTATAGATAAATCACTGCATTAATAGATACATATAAATCGTGTACGTCGATATACAATACAAGTTTTAATCAATGAGCGATATTAGAGTCTGAGTAAAATTAATTAGTAATAGAAATGGTTAGTTCTTAGATACCTAATTGTTTTATCACTGGAGAAGACCAAAATTCCCCTTTCAATAATAATTTATGAATAACAAAATTTGTTTCAAAATCAGATGCAGTTTTAAAACAACCACAATTTTAATGTAAGGGTAAAAAGGACGCTGACGGCTCTACATGAGATCTTACTACATTTTATTGTGAAAGCGTCATGGGCCCTGACTTTATGCTTTTATATTTAATGTCTTATGTAGTCTTATATAATAGTAGATAATACAATATTTTTACGGCACACAAAGAGACATTATAGAACAACAAAAACAAACAACAATAATAATTTTAATACAATATACACCCTTCTACAAGTACGTACCTACTTCCTACTGTCTGAAATGCTATTTGCAAATAATGATGATACACTTAAAATCCATATCAGTCCTTGGAAATGTCGCATGCTTTATGTAATTAATTTTATCTGTATACATATTTATATAGCAGTAGTAGTAGGTACTTATCTATATATATGTCAAAGTAGTAGTAATTTAGATATAGTGTTGATTACAAATCGAAGAGATTAATCTAAAAATATAAAAAAATAGACTTACAAAAGTTACAAAAGAATTGTTATTGTTATGGACAATTTTATATTGCATCTTTATCTATTTCTGCCGCCAAGTAATAATGTGAGCATTAGCGCGTTCCGGTTTTGAAGGGTATAAGGGTACAGAGACATGTGACTCGCAAACTTGTGTCTCAGGGTGCCGGGCGCAGTGGCTATACTCCTCAGATCTTTGCGATTTAAAGCTCTGACAGTTACTGTAACTGCTATGGACAAGCGTGTCACTTCAATTACCACCAGGCGCTCGACTTGTTCGTCCCGTCACATGGAATCATAAAAAAATATTGCATGCTCTAGAATGAGCTTTCCAAATCTAGAACTCCAAATGTTCCACTTTTTACTAATAACTCACATAACGCCCTAGTCTAATCTCTTAACTGTGTGCTGGATGCTACGTCGTGCACATCTTTACTGAAACTTGCATAATATGTTATTTATATTTTTCACTGTGTTACAGTAGTACGATAGAGTAGTCAAGAGTCACATGTAGCTACTACTATAAAATATGATTAAGAAGGGTTATTTGAGTAAAATCAGTTTTATTGAGCAAAAGACATCAACGTAATCGCATTATGGACAATACCAATTGCAACTAGGTTGAGTGTTTTATCGAAATATAAATAAATAATGCAATAAATTCAAGGTTTAGATTTTGCATAGTTATCCTTCCCTGTAACAGTAGGAACCTCTACTCTCGAAGTTGTTGACGAGTTAATCTACCTCGGACAAACTTCATTCATACAAAGGCTGAAATGACGTATTAGGCCATTTGAGAGACGCAACCTGTACTGGATGCCCTGTGTTACAGTATTTCTGTTATAGATTGGTACGCATTTTTCGCATGCTTTTATGAGATTGCATTGATGGATCTGCGTACCGTTTAGGTCCTCGGATTTCTCTCAGAGAAAAGTTTAGGGAGACTGGTGTCATGACTGTGACATCACAGTACATTTACTCAAATATTAAAAAATCATAATTTCAATAAGAAAGAAGATATCCATGAGGTTTGGACGGGTTTTAAGTGTGCTATTCGTGATATGTGCGGGGCTTGTTCAAGCGTTAGCCGACCAGGAGTCAAGAGTCGTGCAGATCACATCGGGCGCTGTACGCGGCTACAAGGAAGATGACCTCTTCATATTCTATTCAATCCCATACGCGACCGCGCCTACCGGCAGGAACAAGTTCAAGGTCAGACTGTAAAACAACAATCTATTTACTTTTCATCAATTGCATCCTGTACCCGCCGAGATACTATATAGAGTTAGTAGAAATTGAAGTTAGATGATAATATATTGCTTATAATAAGAAAGACCGAGGAGCTTTACAATTTTTATGTTACCAAGCATATTATCCCGGCAAAAGTGGTTTTAACTCAATGCACTCAATGAATAAAGATCATTATGTACTATGTAACCGTAACAAATATTTGTAAAAATGACACTGTGTTACAAGCATGAAAAAAAATTGGGAACCTTTGGAAAATTTCCTCTTTTTTGTACATACTTGTCGTGTTGTTACGTTTTTAAAGCGTAATTTTTTTTAGGTTCTGCGCTTGGTACTAAACACCAATGTGTATTTTTATTTCACAAAAAATATTTCAGAAAAACCTACGATATAAATTCTAACTGATATTTTACATCATAAATCACAAAATATAAATTTAAAAACAAATATAGCACGCAAAAAAATAGGTAATTTTTTTAACTTTTTCTTTTATATAATAATAATGACGCACATATACATAGCCCCGCACTAGAGAAACCCTGTATCGCGGGTGCCATGGACACACGCATAGACAACCACAAATTACACCCAGACTCATGAGAGAAATAAATGTAGGCCATACAAATTTTCTCCCGGTCCGGGAATCGAACCCGGGACCTCTGCATGGCAGTCCAGCATGGTAACCGTTCGGCCACGGAATCAGTATTGAAACAAACCACGCTTTAGATACCACAGTAATCGCTAACTTAGCTACAAATTATTCCTTGCAACTTGATAACGTACTTACCTTGGTTATTTTTGCACTTTTATGCTCTTTTACAAAAATAAATAAAAAAGATCCATGTAATTAGGATCCATAATAAACTGAAGCAAATCCCTATTTACAAAACCAACTCGTCAGAAATTAATTTCAATTAATTTCGTTTAGTATTTTTTTACGAATTCAAATATAATAATAACTCGTTTGAATGCAGTTTAACTACATTGCTGGTAATTGTGATATAAATTGAAGGCAGAAAGTATCAAATATATAGTAGAATTATCATTTGCATCGACTTTGAATAGTTTATTAAATATGGTTTTTAAGATACAACAAAAAATTGTACGAGGTGTAACACAAAATGTACGAGGTGTAACACAAAATGTACGAGGGAATAAAATATTTTGTATATTTATCTGTTATCTTTTCAGGCTCCACTCCCGGCACCGATGTGGCTGGATACATTCGAAGCTGTAGATAAACATATTGTGTGCCATCAATCTGTCATATTTCCCCTTCCACAAACAAGTATCTATCAAGAGGACTGCCTTATCGTAAACGTGTACGTTCCTGATACAGAACAAACTAAATTACCAGTTGTGGTCTACGTGCATGGTGGAGGATACCAGGTGGGGCATGGGAATTTTTTGACACCAAAAGCCTTGGTTAAAAGTAAAAAAGTCATCGCTATCACATTCAACTACCGACTTGGAGTGCACGGTTTTCTCTGTTTGGGTACAGAAGACGTACCTGGCAACGCCGGAATGAAAGACCAAGTAGCGCTACTGCGCTGGGTACAGAAAAATATCGCTAAATTCGGTGGCAACCCTAATGAGGTAACCATCGCCGGATACAGCGCCGGCTCCTCCGCAGTTGATCTACTCATGCTTTCGAAGTCCACAAAAGGATTATTCAATAAAGTAATTCCGGAAAGTGGTGCCAACGTCGCAGTATGGTCGGTGCAAATAAACCCTCTAAAAAACGCCAAGGAATTTGCAAAGACTCAAAACTTCACAGACATAGACAACTTATACGCGCTTGAAGAATTTTACAAAAGTGCCTCGTTTGAGGTGTTAACGTCGGATAATTTTGCAACTAGACCTGACTCGACCTTTATGTTCGTTCCATGTGTCGAACGCCATACTAACACACACATATTACTCGATGATGCACCCGTAAATATATTGAAAAGTGGAAAATATAATAAAGTTCCATTATTGTATGGATTTGCAAATATGGAGGGTCTGCTTCGAGTACAAACGGGTTACGATTTGTTTAAAGATAAAATGAATTCCAAGTTCTCCGATTTCCTACCAGCTGATTTAGAATTTGAAAGTGATGCACAAAAAGAGGAAGTAGCAAAACAAGTAAAGGAATTCTACTTTGGAGACAAAGCTATTGGTGACAAAACCATATTGGCATATATAGATTACTTCTCTGATGTTATGTTTGCATATCCAACTTTAAGAGCCGTAAAATATCACGCAGAGGCAGGCAACGATCAAGTGTACCTCTATGAATACTCTTTTCCTGAGGAGCAATTATTACCTAAATCAATACAAACACAAATTAAGGGTGCAAATCATTGTGCTCAAACAATAGCCGTAATGGACCCAGTTACTATAAGCGATTTGTTACCACCTCAAAATCCTAGCGAGGATTTATTAAATTTGAAAAAAGTTACTCGAGAACTGTGGCTCAACTTCATTGCTACGGGGTATGTTGTGATTTAATTATTTTCCAATAAATTAGAAAATTACTAACTTACTAAGAACTCTAACCATTTTTTGCTTTGTTCACAATTTTTAGTTGTAAGGTGTAGTTTAGTTGTAATTTTAAATATGATATTAATTTTCAGCAAGCCAGTGTCATCTGAGAGCCCCCTGCCCTCTTGGCCACCGGCCGACGCGTTAGGTGCGCCTTTCATGTCTCTGACGATGCCGGCAAAGTTGATCGACGGCCCGTTACTGGAGAACCGCAGGCGCTTCTGGGACGATATCTACGATAAGCACTACCGCGCCCCTATTTCACCGCCCCCACCACCACCCTCTACGACACACTCAGAATTGTGATAGAGAACGAATTTTGGATTACCTGTATGTTGTACCAATCAGTATAGCTGAGTTATTTTTCTCTACCTAATTTCGGTGGCAATTTTTAATATTTAAATATTCTAAAATATTATCATGAAGCATTATTTAATATTCGAGTGTAGTAACCTGAAATATTATTTAATATTTCACGCTGATATACTCGAATACTTAAATAATGAAAATTTAGGTTAAGTAAACTAACCTGAAAATTACCCATATAAATGTACTCAACTATAATCTAAAATGTTGCACAAAGAATCTGACCATGTGTTTCTTATGCCATTCATTATTATAGTAACAGAATGCAACTGCAGCAAACAAGATAATAAAATCTGCAAAACCCTTTTATTTCAGCTAATCAGGTTAACTCTAGACAATCTTTTAAAAAATGAAATTGTAAGGCTTATATGGGCTGGCTGCTTACGTTCATCAAAATTCGCTTGGCACACGGTTTGCTGGTGGCTTCTATTGGTTGAAGGCGGAAGGTGGCAGTGCAGGACGGGTGGTCGTAGTGACAATGACTGGCGAGGCATGGTTGTAGACTGGATAACGTGACTGCTTGTGAACTAGTGTAAAATTAGCATGTGGCACACGCCTCACGGTTTATAGTAAATTTTTCTACGTCTGACTACATCTTCCAATTACTGCAGATGTATTAAAACGAGCAATGCAACATAAACTTTAACTGTCTCCGTGGCCGAACGGTTACCAAGCTGGTCTGCCACGCAGAGGTCCTGTGTTTGATTCCCGGGCCGGGAGAAATATTTGTATGGCCTACATTTATTTCTCTCGTGAGTTTATGGTTTGGGTGGTATCGGTCTACGCATGGGTAGCACCAGTTTTACGATTTTGTGCATAGAAGTACAGAAAAAACAGTTTTAAAATTTACCCAAAGCTGATGGTAGATTTGATAAACACGTAAAGACGCAACATGATTAATTATATTCTCGTCGTCCTTTCTGGCATTTGTAAAACTCGAACTGAGTGTGAGAAGTACAATGATAACAATCTCTTTATTAACAGCGGTTAAATTGTCTCTTCAGACTCGTTATAGATTTTATGATCTAGACATCTAGAAAGCAGCAGAGCTCCTTGTGAAAGATGCCACCTTACCTATTTCTGCTGCCGAGGAGTAATGTGAGCAATACTGCGTTCCTGTTTGGAAGGGTAAAGGGGGCTAATGAAATTACTGGCGCATGGGACTTGTCAACTTATGTCTCAGGGCGATGGGCGCAGAGGCAGTGCCTTTAAAATTTAAGATCCTTAAAATTTAAAGCTCTGAGCGGCACTGCAATTGTTATGTATATATTAGTTGAGTAAATTTCAGAGTGCATTCGTTACCTTTATTTGTAATGCCAGTTAAAGATCCCTATGTACTCACGTACAGACTCTAACCCTCATTTTAAATACCAATCTCAAAGGCAGGCTACTTATTACGAGAATATTATTTCGCGATAAAACCAATCGTAAGGAGCAGTTACCTTTCTCTTAGTAATTATCGAACAATTTGTTCATAAATAATAGCAGTCGCCGCCCGGTTGCAAGCGAGCCAACTTGTTCCAATATCTTGCTAACTAGACTAATGTCTGGTTAGCAACTGCTCCCAATGATAACTTGTACCAATAAATAGACGCTGCTACTCACTCAGGGGCATACTCGATATAGGGTAGGAGACTGTACTTTATGTGTTAAATGCCTGTTTTGCTCATTCACCATCATCATCAATCCATTTATATGACCCACTGCTGGGCGCAGGTCTCGCTCTACATTGGCCCGATGAGGATTGGGAACTTTTTACGTTTTCCGTTTTATGTACCTTCTTCGACGTACTGGTTTAACACGATGTTTTTTCCTTCACCAAAAAGCTCACGATTCAATTTCAAATTAAATTTCGCACGTAAGTTCCGACATACTCAGAGCACGGATTTTAACCCACACCCTCTGTTTGTGAGGCGGTAGGTTTACCTTGGAGTGCTGAGGTCGCTCCCCGAAGTCTTCAGCAAACCGAGGAGGCTGCTGAAATTCCTGGAGGAGCTTGGGTGGCACGAGTAGGACCCAGCATCCACCACACTTAAAATAGGCGCCTGGACGTCGAGTTGCGGACATCAGCCCGTTACACCAAGTACCAAGTGCCAAGAGGCGGTTGGTCAAACCATTAGACTACCACAGCTTTTTTACCAACCTTTACTTTTTTACCTTTTCTTACTTATTCTACTGATTAGTATGTATTTTGAAGTGTGAATTATTATATTATGTATTTTGACAAAATTCTGACCCATAACTTTTTCCCACAGACCACATAAATACTAGTAATTTTTTCCCTATTTTAGTTCGTAAATTAGCCTTGCATGTTTGTAAAGATGTTCATAATGTAATTGTTAGAAGCGACAGTAAAAGAAAAAAATATGCAAATTATGACGATTTGAAAAAAGTGGTCCGGAGACGAATAAAATAGTCAGGGAACGTATAAAAAACGAAACAAATCACAATAAAATCGTTTATTTTTTAGTTTTAAACATGCAAATTTGTTGTACATTAATTTTTAGTCTCAATAAATCGCTTTAGTAACATTACTGTATTGGTAACAAAAATACGTAACTAAAACGACAACAATTCTTGCTAGTCAGTCGAAACGAGATCACATTTTCGTAAAATGCTGATGCTTATAGATTAAAAATGCATAAGCCTGTGCCTATTTTTCAGTCACCTACCACATACGTGAACAGCCCCATATCTTTGTACATTAGTTTTGATTGTAGTGACCCTCCCTTCCTACCCCTAGCCTCTAGGGTATACGAGAAGGGCACCATAACCTGTACGCGCCCAGGAATCTTATAAGTTCAGTTTCCTGCCCCAGATTCTCAGTTCCTGCGCCAGTATACAGGGTTCGTACGGTTCGACTTCGTCTGGTTCTCGAGTGACTAGTGTCTCGGGTGAGCCGTCCCGGGTGCACGTTTTCCAGATAGGTACCGGAGCTGTAGGCACGCTCACTTCCTGTCGCGCATTGCCCAACTAGCGGTTGTCACCGCTAACCCGTCGGCTCTAAGTCCACTATCAAATCTCCTCATTGGTGGCGGAGCTGTTAGGTATACTCACTGCCCGACGCCGAAAAACGACGTCTCTCCAATTCTCAATAACTTAAGCGGCAGGAGGGACCGGAGGATATCTAGCTTTCCGGGCCGGATCACATTGTCAATCTGTTAGACCTTAACCATCCACAACTTGATCTATTGTCCAATAGGCTTAGGCACAAAAGCGGCAAATTACTATTATGTAGAGACATCAACAACCAACCATCTGATCTACTATTCAACTGCCATTGCAATGTTTTTGTATGCTTTTCAAGACACGTCTAAGGCGTACTCTTCTAATTATTTGTCACTAAAGGATATATTTAATTTGAAGACTAAATAGTTAATTAAACAGGATAATAAATTCAGGTATGCATAGCAATTACCTTAGTTTAGTAGGGCAACATAGATCGTTAGAGACTGAATGAATGAATGCCATGCACTGCCATGACACTGACGCTATATTGAGATTCAACCACCATCGCAACAAGATTTTAGCAGAATAACAAATTGTTATCATAAATGGCAATGTAATCTCAGCACTGCAGTCTCAAAGGAATTCTAATCACAAGTGGTTTGAAGAAAATTAGCACACGTGGGGTCCTGAACGCGTGCCGTTTTGTCACTTGCGGTTCGATGCTAAATTAACGACGTGCTACGATCGGTCCGGACAGCAAAATTGCACAGAAATAGTACCTACAATTTGTGATCATTTTGGAGTCACATTTTTTCCAGGGGCCTGATAACAAATTGCAGCGAAAAAAGTATTTAAATGACCTTGGCTGCAAAATCAGTGATAGGATATTATATAGGATAGTGAATGTATTATATACACCGGCTCAATTCTTGACTTTAAAATAGTAAGACTACTTCTAATTGATGCTTCGTAATTCAGTTTTTAAACAAGTTTTTCTATTCCATTAGGGAGTTGCGACACACCGGGGGCTGAAGTTTTGACTTATCAAAAAAATTTCTTTTTCGCAAAAAAATAATTCCTTACGTCGTCGCCAGTTTTAGTGCAAGATGTTAATATTTTAAATATAAAGGTGTAGATATAAAAATAAGTGGTATAAGGAACAAATTTCACAGGATATTTCTAGGGAAATCGAAAATTTCATCATGATTAGAACGTCCCTTATATATTTATACTTTCTGGGAACATGTACTTTTCGCTATTTTACAAGTGCCAGTTTAAAAAAGATTTTAATAATTATTATCTAGTTAGATAACGTTTATACATATTAATGCTGATTCAGCATTTTTCGCCATAGATAAATCTTAGATAATTTGTAAAAAGAGATCGTCTAAGTAAATACACAATACAAGGTCCATTCAAAACCACACCGAGAGTCTACAGTTCCACATCCACAGTTTATACTTTTTTATACCACTCCCGTACGATTACTCGAACTTCTCGACCAGCAAAGGTTACAAAAGTTATTCAGAACACAGTTATCGAATGAAAGTTACCAACGTCCTATTGTTTACAAAGCAAGAATGTAGTATGGATATCTCTTAATATTTTAAATAAAGTTTGGATTTTGTTCAATTTTATTAGTTTATTTTAATGCAAGACTAACGCATTCCTATATTCAAGGCGTTTAAAGTCTTAAAAATGTATGTAAAACGATTTTACCACACGCAAAATAGGCGCCTTGACGTCGAGTTGCGGACACTAGCCCGTTACACCAAGTACCAAGTACCAAAACGATTTTAGTTTTTCTTATAATCTATTTCACCAACTAACTCCGTAAACTCTGTTAGATAATGATACTCGTATATCGTATCCGAATCCGAATCGAACGTTTAACTCGAATGTGAATAGCTCAGAAAGCGCCCTTCGATTCGAGAACGATAACCTATCTTATCTACCACGAGTTTAATGTGACAGTTGTCGCTACCGACCGTGTAAATTACTTAAAATTTTGTACGGCAAATTATACAGCGCCTCTAACGGTCACAAAAAGAAACAACATTTTGTATACAAACATGTTACGCGGCCGCTAGCGATAACTATCACTGTAATCTGATGTTACAGGCACAGTAAAGAAAAATGACAACTTATTTTGTGTTTCAAAATAAGAATAACACAAAGAAAAGTAGCTATGATTGATTACTGCGGAGAACTAGGCGCGGTATAACGATGTATTTAAATCTTATAAAATATAACTGAAACCAAGTTCTATATAGTCACTTTGTAATTTACGATATATTAGGGATGATTCTACCAATCAATAAAAACAAATTTTAAAACGAGACAGAATATGTGAGTCCCAACCCAAATATTTCGGTCGAATACGTATGAAGGTTCAATATAGAATAAATGGCTGTATAAGTATTATTTTTGCAGTTTGTAGAGCCTCTCCGGTATTGAAAGATAGGATTACACAGAAAAAAAATAATTAATATAATGGAACAACAAAATATTAATATCCTAGAAACAACATGGCCTTCTGCGATCATGTGTTCTAAATTTTGTTTTGTAATAACTTGAATAATATTGAGATAAGTACTAAAACATTAGAACACTAATGGTCTTTCTAAAGGTAGTATTTATTAATATAATAAACATTTATTATGTAAAATCTATACTTATGGCAATATTATCAAACTGATAACATCGTAAAAAAAAGTTAAGGCTTCATTATCATTTAGTAATCAGTTCACTGCGATGAGGTTTGGACGGGTTTTATGTGTAGTTTTGGTAATATTATGCGCGGCGTCTACGCAGGCCGACCAGGAGTCAAGAGTCGTGCGTACCACCTCAGGTTCTGTACGCGGCTACAAGGAAGATGACGTTTACGTATTCTACTCAATCCCATACGCGACAGCACCCACCGGCAGAGATAAGTTCAAGGTCAGAGTCTAAAACACTTTAGTGTCCATATATCCTAAACCTACAGTGAGATGCTGTACAGAGTTAACAGAAGAAGTTGAAAACAAGTAATAATTTCGAACATATAGCAGTATTTGTAAAAGTAATTAGGGCACATGAAAAAATCGATGAAAACGAAAACAATCCCAGCGAGTGACTTATTCTTACTATAAAATATCGGGGGTAACATGTATTGCGTAAAGAAGTTTTGAACTTGGCCTAGATTTTAATATACCAGGCAACCACATCAATCGCCTGGTCTTAAACTAGGGCAATTCCCTGTACTACGAGTACCATAGCAACGGAATTTACTCTGAGGCACTTATCAGAACACCCAGGCGGGAAATAATTTAAAAAAGTTCATTTCTCAATTTGGTCGAATTTGTTAGGCCACCTAGGCCGTCAAGATATGGAAGTCGATCTTGTCTTTATTATTTGCATTAGCACAACTGTGTTCCACCAAGCACGCAGTCTAGTAGCAGTAGAACTCCTTGTGAAAGAGTTCGTCCAGGCCACCTTACCTATTTCTGTCGACAAGCAATGTGAGCATTATTGCGTTCCGATTTTTAAGGGTAGGTGTACTGGTGAAATTACAGGCTTAAGGGACTTGTCAACTTATGTCTCAAGGTAACGGGGGCAGCGGCCTTGCCCCTCTGATATTTGCGATTTAAAGCTCTGAGTGGCACTGCAACTGTTATGTACAGGCATGTCGGTTACCACCAGGCCCGCGACTTGTGTTCGATCAGATAAGGAATAAAACAGTTTAAAGTAAATTTTTATTTGATACCCATCATAAACTTATTTTGAGTGTTTAGGACAAAATTCTAGTTACCTTTTATTATGCTTTATTGGTTTTCACTGCTAACAAACACAGATCAATGTTAATTTTAATTAAAATAGCGGCATGCGGTGGTTAAGTTTGCGTACCTGATTTCGTGAGTTTGTTTACTGTGTAATTTATATATTTAATCAAACTTAGCGCTACATAACATGATTGAGTAAAGGAAAAACAGTCAAATAATGAAACTAAACAACGACGAAATAAACCTTGACCAGTTGTATTAGAGACCGTAACAAACAAAAAAAAAGTGTAAAAAATAACAGAAGACCAATAAAAAGAGTCTTGTTATGAACGGTTGGACCTTGTATGTATAATGGCGGCATAATTGGGTAGAATAGGTAGTATATGACGTAGGAAAAGCAAAGGTAGTTTAAGACGTATTACATAACAAAGATGTAAACATTACTTTAAAATTGATGTCATTAAGGACACAGTAATAACTTCAAAATACACTATCGTGTAGTGACATGGTAGTGACTAAAAATGAAACGGAGGGAATGTTTAGAAAACAATATTATGTTATGATTGCTAGGTGTCGCTGCTAGTGAAGATTAGCTATTTTAGTAAACGTTGAAGGACAAGAGTATTCCTGTTATTGTATTGGAAGAGGGAAGTGTCAGAACTCTGGCTAGTACCAGGCCTTTTCCCTTGCTTTGTAATACTTGATGAACAAATAAAGATACAGCATTTCGGAGACTCTTTTATTGGAACGTTACCTTTTAATGAGCTAGCTAGCTATGAATAAATAATATAAATAGCTGATAGATTGTATGTTAGAGCCATTCCCTTGTAATAATATAGTTCCTCTCACATAACCGTCATCTTCTTTAAATCACACGCACCCACATAAGTAGATATCATCATTGTGTCGATACATAATACGTACATTAAAATATACGTCTCCACAATATAAAAATTTTAATTCCAATATTATTCGCAACACAAAAGTGCCTCATGTACTTACTATTTTTCAGGCTCCGATACCAGCACCGATGTGGCTGGAAACATTCGAAGCTGTAGATAAGCATATTGTGTGCCATCAATCAGTCGTATTTTCGCTTCCTCCTACAAGTATATATCAAGAGGACTGCCTTATCGCAAACATATTTGTTCCTGACACAGAAGAGACAAAATTACCAGTTGTGGTGTATGTACACGGCGGAGCATATCAGGTGGGGTTCGGAAATTTATTGACACCAAAATCCTTGGTTAACAGCAAAAAAGTAATTGCTGTCACATTTAATTACCGACTTGGAGTGCACGGCTTTCTCTGTTTGGGTACAGAAGACGTACCTGGGAACGCCGGAATGAAAGACCAAGTAGCGCTACTGCGCTGGGTCCAGAAAAACATCGGTAAATTTGGTGGTAACCCCAATGACGTGACCATCGCCGGATACAGCGCCGGCTCCTCCGCAGTAGATTTACTCATGCTTTCGAAGTCCGCAAAAGGATTATTTAACAAAGTAATCCCAGAAAGTGGTGCTAACATCGCAGTATGGTCGGTGCAAATAGACCCTCTAAATATCGCCAAGGAATTTGCAATAAGTCAAAACTTCACAGACGTGGACAACATTTACGCGCTTGAAGAATTTTACAGAAGTGCACCGTTTGAGGTATTAACATCGGATAATTTTATGTCTAGAAGTGATTCCACCGTCATGTTCTCTCCATGTGTCGAACGCTATATAAGTACTAAGACTGAAAGATTTCTTGATGATGCGCCTGTAAATATATTGAAAAATGGGAAATATAATAAAGTCCCGATATTGTATGGATTTGCAAATATGGAGGGTATTAACAGAGTGCAAATGGGTTACGATTTGTTTAAAGATAAAATGAATTCCAAGTTCTCCGATTTCATGCCAGCTGATTTAGAATTCGAAAGTGAAGCTCAAAAACAAAAAGTAGCGAAACAAGTGAAGGAATTCTACTTCGGCGACAAAGCTGTCGGTGACGATACTATATTGGCGTACATCGATTTTTTTACTGATGTTATGTTTGCATATTCCACTTTAAGAGCCGTAAAGTATCACGCCGAGGCGGGCCATAATCAAGTGTACGTGTATGAATACTCTTTTCCTGATGACCAAATAATGCCCGAAACAATAAAAGCAAAAGTTAGGGGTGCAGATCACTGTGCACAGACAACAGCGGTTCTCGATTCACCTCCTGAAGGTAGCGAATGGGCGCCCCCAGAAAATAAAAGTGAGGAGTATAAACGATTAAGGGCAATCATGAGAGAATTATGGCTCAACTTCATTACGACAGGGTAATGTTATGATTTCATTTTTCTTCTTCTTAGTATTTCGAATATACTGTATTTTCACATTCCACGGGATTGTGTGTTCTATATAATTCATGAGCTCATCTTGTGTGCAAATCGCTGATACCTGTGCAGCCGGTGTAAGCGTGGGCCATGGTCTGAGGAAAATAACATCCACTCACTTAATTAGTCCCCATCAGAGAAACTCTATACACTTTACACTTTTCCTCTTCCCGTTGTCTATAATCAGCGACAGGAAATGTGGCCCAGCCGTTTTTCATACAAACAGTGCACCTTCTGAAATAAAGGTGAAATACATAAACGAGAAGAATGAAATAAAAAATAAAATAAAAATTATGTATATAATTTTATACATATATTTCGTCTCATAACTTACCGTAATGTAATGAAATAATAAAGAAATAAATGAAGGATATTCCTGTACTTTAAATTTGAGTTTTTGTTTTTTCTGTGCTTATAAAGATACATACATATGTAAATACGAAAAACATCAAGGCCGCATTTTCTGCCGCTATATGCTTGATTTTAAATCTCTAAAGACACTTCCTTGCATTGTCTGTAGTCTGCAATTTGAAATATAATCTTATTTTCCAGCAAGCCGGTGCCTTCTGAGAGCGCACTGCCAGCGTGGCCGCCAGCGAACGCCTCTGGCGCTCCCTACATGTCACTTACAATGCCGCCTCAGTTAGTCGATGGTCCGCTGTTGGAGCGTCGCACGCGCTTTTGGGACGCCATCTACGACAAGTACTACCGCACCCCAGTCCCTCCACCCACACCACCTCCAAAAATGCACACAGAATTGTGATTCTGATTATACGCAAAGTTGTTTAATACTATCTAGTTTTACTTACCTACTTTGTGTAGTACGAGTATAGCATGAACATTTTTGGTCACTAATTATTAAAATAAATTCATTTTAATGTGTTATTAAAATTTTAATTAAATTTACTCTCGAAATTTTCAAAGGAAATAAATAATCTATGAAATTATAAAATATTTTGCACAAATCATAGTTCATAACATCAAATAATAGGCTACGCCGACGACAGATCTTGATGTATGGATGCGAAGCGTCAGTGTCCACTTTGACGTTGAAGTAGGAGAACAAGTTCTTAATGGCGGAGAGGAAAACCTTTAGGAAGATTCTGGGACCAACTAGGAAAGAAGGTGGAACCTGGCGAATGAGGAAAAATCTGGAGATCATATCTGGGGCAAACGTCCTAGATATGGCTAGATCGACCAAGTCCACAAAGACCTGTGTGAGTTTCGAATAGCCGATTGGCAATAAGCGGCACAGAACAGAGAAGAGTGGCGCATATTAAGTTAAGATTCACTTCGGGTCGTTCAGCCAGCCAAGTAAGTAAGTATAGTTCATGTGGATAAAATATTACAATTGAATAAATTTTATGGAGATTATTTAATTGTAACTGACTAAGTATCAATAAATGTGATTGTACTTACATACGTAGAGCTAGGTACATAATGTAGGTCAGTACAAATATTCAATTAAAATTATATTATATTATAATTATATATTATAAAATTAAAGAAATAAACTTTAAAAAACCCAGTTTTTCATTGTTATTTTAAAAGGAAAGGCAAGGACTTTTAGGGGAAACTGAAATGAATGATCCGATGGTGAACTGATATTCGTGACAGACAGTCTGCGTCGAGCAAAGGAACGAACTCGACATTTGTAAAATTGTGTCATTTTATGCAAATATCAAGAAAAATGTCGTCGTGCGTTTAGAGTGCAGTAATAAAGTAAATAAAACACGAGGAATCACATACCACGCGTAAGTTAGTAAAACATTTATATGTATAAAGATCTTTGTCAGTATGCTAGACGACAGCTTTGATTAGTAAGTGTTAAAATATTATTCATTATTCATGTAATTTTTATATTGTATTAATGATTAAAATAGGATTATTCTTGGGAACACATCACTTAAATGGTGTTTACTATCAAGCAATGCATTTGTATCGTCAGTCGTATATTCAAGCGCCACTCTTCGAAAATTTCTGAAAAAGAAATGAGAAAAGTACTGACACTCAGCTACTGTCAGCGTGAAGTTATATGCAATATTCCGATTCTCTCTTTTATTTCAAAAGGCAATCTGTACCGGCAGCATTTGTGCTATTTCCGATGCCGTTTGCACAATAGTTGGAGGCGAACCAGTAACACTTTCGTTGAAATTGTACTTCATCTCTGCTATAATTTACGCCAAAATTTTGATATGGATATCAGTATTATTGGCTCCAAATTCTTAGTCATAAATTTACAAAGAATGGCCAACGACGACGAGGCATACCAAGAAGGAGATGGCAATAACTTGGACGCATATAGTATAGGAGGACTTTTTTTCGTGGACGAAATCCTCCTAGGATTAGGTTATGCGACAGTGGCTTTCTCGGGTGCTCTAGTGGGAGGGATTCAGGATTGACTTTGCGCACCGAAACCCCTCCATCACCTGAAATGTGCTACGTCCTCCCCTCCACCTCATCACGACGAAGCGGACCACACCGCCCCGTCTTCCTCTTACTTACTGGAGCCCCCGCAGGAGCGGGATAGGCTCTCTACCGATCACGCTCGGCGACCTCCTTCTGGCGCATCACCGCTTCACAGAAGGACACTGCTTCATGATCCGTGAGCATAGCCGCTACTGTGTCTGGCGGAGATAGATCTCGCCTGAGCTGGGCAATCAGGGTGTTTCGGTCCTCCAGGCGCGAGGTCCACGCTTGCTCCAGACTTCTCGAACGCTCATCGGCGCTCCTGTTCCCGCACTTTCAGCGGCGAAGTCTCCCCCGCCTAGCGGACGTACGCGTAAATATATTCCCAGCTGTGGGAAACAATACGCTAAAAAAATTTGTTATTAGCTTATGTCCATAATCGTGTGAATTCTCCTGATCGTTTTCGGCCACGGCAACTGTTTCAGCTCCGCTGTTGGTGGCGCTCGGCCAGAACAGTAGTTAGACCAATAAAAAACAGAAACATACATGCAAAATCTTAAAACTAAGTGCATATCTATTACAGATCGACGCTACATGCACAGTAAATTGAAATAATACAAAAAGAAAAGTGTATGCTATGTAACCATGTAAGTCACTTAAAAAATAGTGTGATCAATCATTTAACCCATTAGGCGTTCAAGAGCCGCACGGTGTCTCTAACGCACAGCTGTGTTTTCATCCACCATTAAATAAAAATTACAAACTTATTTATTATTATACATTGCCACTTGCGTTTAGTGTAATTTTAGCTCTCTAATATATGACTTCAGTAGGAATTCAGTTCATCATAGAAACCCTAACCATTGCTCACTCCATCGCACGCTGAGCGACTTTAAATTTGTGGATGAGGTCTGTTGTCAATGTAGTGGTGTTCATGTAAAAAAATCGATATTTTTTCTGATGTTATATATTGAAATGTTGTATCGATATTTTGCGATATATCGGTACAAAACATCGATATTTTCGATATATCGTAAATAATTCCGAAAGATAAAAGGAAGCAAATTTTAATAAGAGTAAATAAGTACAATCACCAGTTTTGACACAATATTCAAGTATTTCTTCAATTACTTTTATGATACGTTGTTGCTAAATCGCATATATTTGTTTTTTTTTAAAACGAGCTGACGTTTCGGGTTCCATGTGAACGTAACGTAAACATTCTTAAAATTCTTTAGATTTAGTGACAAGTCGCTAAAAGGGCAACACTGCCCCAGTCGTTGGAGCGGGAATCAATATCCACCGAACGACGGCGTTTCTCACCAGACAAGGCAAGGCTTTGTTTGACTTTGGCAAAAAATATATTTAATTTGCCTACACAAACGAAATCCTTTAAACAAAAAAGAAGAAAGAAACATTTTTTTACGAAAGACAGCAAAGACTGCCATTTTATTTCCGATAGCTCTAATCAACGGCTAACCGCACACATGCAATATTATTGACAACCTAATTTTATGTATGTTCCCAACACAACAATATCGCCCGCACACAAGCAATATTATTGTGAGTATGTGCGGCTAGCCAAGTACAATTTTGAATTGCGTACTTTCAACTTTGTATGATTTTTCATGTATCAGATAAAATACCGAAAAAAATACCGAATGATACGATAATATCGGATTGATATCGAATCAATCCGATATTATCGTATCATTCGAGGGCATATATCGATATTTTTTTGAAATATCGATATATATCGAGCACTCCTACGTCTACTTTTTGATCTCACGGCAAAAAGTCCAATACAAAATGTTTTTCCCTTGTGATTTTTTTGTGTTAAATTAATATAAAAAATATGTGTTTTCAATTATTTTTTGGTGGCGGGCGTTGACATTTTTTTACCTTGCCTTGGTGAGCCAAAAAGTTTGGTATCCTATGGGTTAACGTAACAGTACTTAACAGTAACGTAAGTGAGTACCTTACCCTTTAGTCGAGACTGTAGACCGGTAGCGTGTCAATCCTAATCTTAATTAATTGCATTGGCCTTATAGGTAAATAAGTTCTTTTTTAAACCGAGCGCCTGGGCCACTAAGATAAACCATTGAAATTCAACTCACTGAAAATTTGGTGTGTTATTTTGTCATGAAGCCGAGCTAAGATTTCTTCAAAGTTAATTTACCATAGCAACAACAATAATGTTACATTCACGTGGTCAAGGATTTAGACCATCTTACAAACCTGCGATCCGGGTACGTACCACGTCCTCTAAGTGATATTATACTGAGTCGCATTAAGCAGGTCAGAAAAAGTTCCTTATCCATTTATTTAGAGCGAAAAATTGAGTTGCGCATTAAATGTCGACGGACCGAGCAGAAGCGAAACGCACATCGATTTTTTCGCTCTTATTGCATGGACATAAAGTTTTTTTGGAATTGCTCAAGACGTATAATCGCCCACGGCCCTGTATACTTCAAAATGTACACAATAAGTGAAGTGATTCAGACCTAGATTCCTATGATCACGTAAACGCCCAGTGTACGTACAATATAACCAAAATATCGCATTCAAATTTGACGCTACATAATCTCTATGACTATAGGATATATAGAAAAATACGTTTTTTATTTAAAAATGTGGGCATACTTGCCTGGGCCTGTAGCATGTAATTATATTTACTCTATTTTAATGTACATTGGGCGTTTAGAGCTTTTCCCATTGTAGTTTGCTGGGTCTTAGGAGGTTAAGCGTTAATAAGTGTGGTGACTCCGTCACTCTCTGCTTCGCTTTGAGTCTGATTCTTGAACAACTTCAGTTTAGTCGATCATAGTTTACGAGACAGGAGTTACGAGGAGGAGGAGAGATGTTCTTTGTTCTTAAAACGATTCTAACAATATTATAGTTGGACGTTACAATTCATTTACATAATTTTTGGTCGAGTCTGAGTTCTGATCGTCCACTCAAAACGCACATCGTTTCCGCTCTTAGTACGTCATCCTGAAGCTTTTTCTGACTATCTTAATGCGATTACGCATCAATATGTGTAGCATGTGGTTTCCCTAAGCGATTTTGTTGGAACCGAAATGGTGGCGCTATCATTGGCATTTATACCAATGTTGATATTAACAGTGAAAGACGTACCTAGCTTAAAATTGAGCTAAAAGATCTGTTTTTAGCTTGCCTGCATTAATACTAGCAGTTTGGGTTGCAATAAATTAATTTTGTTACGAGCACAACGACGTAGGATTTGATGGGTAACTTTAATGGATATAGTGTGGGCACATTGTAACGGCCCTTATGTGGAGTGAGTATGAAAATGTTGACTTACAGGGATATTTTCGACTTTGAAAGCTAATACGTTAGAGGGAATATATACAAGTAGTTACGAGTATATGGGACAAAACAACATTCAAGTTTATTTTGTCTTTTAGCTCATTTTCTCAAGAATCTTTCATAGTCTATCGTGGTTATAGAATAGAACAGAACAGGAGCAGAATGGAGCAGAACAGAATAGAATATAAATAATTTCTTCCGTAAAAACCACATTGCACACACTATATAACTACAATACATAATACTTTTCGTCTACAGCACATGACTTAAAACAACTGGAAAGCGCAACATACCTTAATAAAGTACATTACATTAACAAATAATACGAATAAAAAACTTAAGTAAATGGGCAGTTCTCATAAAATTTCGAAATTCGTGCTTCCGATATTTATTAAAATTTTTGGGAAGAATTTGTATTTATTTTTTATCAATTTCCTAGTACTTATGTAAATAGTTTTTGGTGATATAGTGGTTCCCAAAATAAATGACTTTTAAGAAAATGTAAAGGGCAGTCAGAACATTTGAAGGTGAGGGAATGACGAAATCAAAAGAAACCAAGAAAAAATAGTGATTAAAACTTGCTTTTTGACTTTTGTGTAAGCTTACTGCTACCAATAACTCGTCTGGGTGAATAATTATTAGATAAAATCAAATGTTTAACTACTTTTTATATGATATGAGGGAATGACTGT